GAGTATGTAGATCTTCCTTTGCTTCTTGAAAATTTCTGCTTTCTTTGTTTCTAAGAGCTCATTCTGCTTGGCTCTTCTACTCCTTTAAAAGTACCATGAGTTCTCCCTTTGCTCCCTTGCATGTCTGGATGCCCCCAAGAACTTTATTTTTGGCACTTTCTCATTCTATATACTTTCTGTGAGCAGCTCTATCAAAAACCATTTATTCAGTTGCCACTTATATAATGATGATATCCAAATATATATGTCCAATTTTGCTTTTCTTTTTCTTTTTTCTTTTTCTTATCTTTTTTAGGTGGACTTACGCTTTTCTTTTTAACTCTAATTTTGAATATCTACAAACCTACTACTATTTCCACTTGACTATACCATAGGCTTTCAAGTTAAAGTGTCTACATAAAATCCGTTTTGCATGGCCCCAAATTTGATATTCCCCCTGTTTTCTCAACTCAGTGACCTCAAGATCACTGAAGTCAGAGATCCAGGAATCACCCAGGTTCCTCTATTTTCCTCGTTATAAACATCCAATTAATTGCCAAGTCCTGTTAATTCTATTCTTCAGCATCTGATCAGTACCACTGACACTACATTAATTAATCTCTTTACCATTTACGACCTGGGATATTTTTATAGCCTCCTAACTGATGGTCTTGTCTTAATCCACCCCTCTGCCCCATCCATCTTTAACATTGATATTAGAGCGATATTTCTAGTACAATACTCAAATCCTTGCTTAAAACCTTTCAAAGCTTTCTCATTTCTTAAAAAAATAGTCTAAACTCCTATGTAGCATTGAATGCTCTTCATTATGTGGCCAAGACCATCTTTCTGGTTTCATTTCTTTTCACCTTTTATCTTCTTTCCTCTCTCTCCTTCCTCTTCTCCCACTGCGCTCACTCCAGTGTGCTGGCTATCCCTTCTCCAACCTATGCTCCAGTAGGTTTTATTCCCTCTTTAGGGACTGCATCTTCCCTGTGGTGAGCAGCTTCGTGGGCTGCAAGGCTCCCTTCCAATGTTGTCGCTCACCAGGGGAGTGAAGTGCTTCCCTCTCTGCGCTCCATTATCACTTGTGTAACTTCTTGCTCACTTGGCTGGCCCTTTCTGTGGGGAGCAAGGATAATAGCCACCAAATGGATGCATTGAACTTTGTTTTCAAGGGGTCTTGAAGAAAAGACTTCCACAGGATATTTTAAAGTTTCCATGTTTGCTAATGATTTATCTATCCCAGGATGGTAAAAAAATAAATGCTTTAATAGTTTAAAGTATAGAAAAGAGACTGAACTAGAGAAGCTGCTAAGTGTTAAACCTTTTATAATACAGCAATGAAGAGACCTAAATAGGATATAATTTAGCCTACTTTACAAAAATTATAGCAATTGAGCAAGATAAAGTGAATGCACTTTTAAAGCCAGACATATGTGAATATACTTAGCAATCTATTCTCTGTAAGGCATTGAAATATTTTAGAGCAGCCAAGTAAATACATTCTTTAGATTTTATTTGGTTTAATCATGATATTTGTAGACAAAAGAAATTTCTGTGGACTGCTGTTTTTCCTAATTAGTGACTCAGCTCAAATATGGGTTATGATATATAAGATGTGAAATAGCTAATATTCTGGTTTTTTTACTCATTTTATTTTATTTATTGTCCTCTCCAAACATTGGAATGCCAGTTTCACAAGTGTGGGAATTTTGGTCTGTTTAATTCCTATTATATCCCAGCATTGGGACAGATGTCATGGGGATTCAGAAAATATTATTTGAAAAAATGAATAGCGATTTAAAATATATGGAAAAGAGTGAAAGATTTGATAAACCTCATAAAACACAACCAATAGCATCTGAAAGAACTGAGCTTAATTATCATGTCACAAAGAGAAGAAGAATTTTAACCAGCATGGAAGGACATCCAGCTTGAGGCGTCCTGAGGCCCCACTCACATGCATCGGCGAGGCCAGGGGGGCCCATTTCTCCATTATATACCGGAACACCATGAAGATCTTGTCAGATAGTCGGTCGGCATCCAGTCTTGGATAAGGGAAATCTCTCCAGTGGTTGACATACTTGTAAATGGTCTTGCTGAACTTCTCAAGGGCTACATTAAAAAACACATCCACAGACTGAGAAAAATATAAAGATGGGAAAGACCATACAATAATTTGAGAAAATAGTACTGATGATTAATAAATGTGTAATAGTTTCTATACTATCTTACAACTGTACCAAATAAACATTTAAAAAGTGTTCAGCCACATTAGTGAAATGTAAATTAAAACTGTAAGGAGAAACTACTACATATCACCCAGAATGGCTAAAATTTAAGACAGGTAATGCCAAGTGTTGACAAGACCAAGATGTAGCTGGTATTCTTAAATACTGCTGGTGGGAATGTGAATTGGTGCAAATGCATTGGAAAACTCTTTGGTTGAATATGCATTCCATATGACCCAGCAATTCCACTCTTAGGTATATAGGCATTAGATATGTGTACATCTAGGCACCAAAAGACTTGTACAAGAATGTTCATATTTGCTTTTTGTTTTGATAATATTGTCAAACAGAAAATATTCCAAATATCTGCTGATAGGTAGAATGGAAAAATAAATTATAGTATCGACCTATAATAGCATACAGAAGTAAAAATGGGCTACAGCTCCATCGCACAGCATGTATGAATCTCACAAACAGGCAAAACTCATTGTATTAGAAGTCAACATAATGGTTACCCATGGGAGGAAACAGGAGCGGGGGGCTCTGGACACTAATAATCTTCCACTTCTTGCCCCAAGTAGTGGCCCTAAGTTCCCTTTGTAATAACTCATCAACTTGTACACTTCTGATTTGTGTGATGTTCTGTGCCTGTGTTTAACTTCAACAAAATTTAAACAAATCTTGGGCTGCAAAAGTACCACTTGGATCACTAATCCACATATTTGTATCAAATGCGTCAAATAATAATATTTTTCCTTCAGCCTTCATGCTACCCATTTCATTAGATGATAGAGAAAATTCATAGTTCATTCCTCACGAACACCTCACATACACAGAATACTCTGGAAAAGACCCTTCGTATTTTAGCTTTAGAGCTGGCCATTTATTGACTCATCACATTCCCTCCAAACTCCTGATTTCTTTGAGAATCTCCTACTACATCATAATCTTTTCTTGGTGTTTGTGTGTGTTTCTGTGTGTCTGCATGTGTATGTCTCCCACTGGCTTGTAAGCAACATGAGAGAGGGGATGATGTCTTGTTGGTTTAGGGGTTTACAGTATCTGAAGCAGCCAGCACAACGACTGCTTATTTGCTGATTGAACGAATGACTTAGATATGCTAGGACGGACAGATGGATGGATGGATGCCTAACAAATTTTATACCTTTTCTTTAGTGGCAGTCAGGCAAAACGTTGCTTTAGGAAAAAAGGGCACTTAGATAACTTTATAATAGGAAGTAGGGATAGTAAGAAATACTGGGAAGTGATTTAATCCAGAATAGCTGCTGCTCAGGTCTTTGAGTCAGACTATCACAGTTGACAGTCTTGGCTCTTATGGCTGTGTGACCTCAGGCAAGTCATTGAACCTTTCTAATCCTCCATGTTCTCATCTGTGAAACGGAGGAAAAATGTTACCTATCCAACATAGGGTTGCTGCGAGGGTTAAAGGAAATAATAATCTTAAAATGGCCAGGGCAATGTTCAGACACTTAGTAAATTCTCGATATATTTCATATAAATATTGCCTTTGTTGATGACAGAACAAGAGGAAAAGGGCAAAATGGAACTGAAGAGGCTTGGTTGGTAGGTAAAAAACATTCCTGACAGTATGGGCTTTTAAATATCGCAGATTTGTGGTGTCAGGGTGTGGCGGAAGTGGAAGGGATCTTAGCAATCACTTCCGATGCTTTTAGAGTGAAGCTGGGACTGAGAGGAGGGCAGGGTCACCTGGGTGGTCAGTGGCTGAGCAGAGACGAGAGTCCAGGTCTCCCGTCTCACCCGAGCAGCCTCCCTCTGCACTGCAGGAGCTTCTTCCCAGGAATTCCAGGGCACGTTCTTCTCTGCAGATTTTTGATTACTGTTCTTATCTTTCAGTTTTGGTTAGAGGGGATTTGTGACCATAGTTCGCTTGCCTATTTTTTCTTGATTTTATGACTGTTGTATTTTGGTTACTTTGTTTACTTATCATTTTTATGATATTGCATTATAATCAGATGCCAGAATTTAATCTACTGCTAAGAGCTGGTAAGTGTTCACAGTCACTGCAGAGGAAGTGTGATCCCATGAAAGAAGGAGGCCAGTAGAAATGGAGGTTGTACAGGGCAGTGAAAAGAGTGTAGACTGGGTGGTCCTATGGACCTAGGTTTGAACACCATGTCTATATCTCATTGACTCTATCATCATTTGGGGAAAGTTACATAATTTTCATGTCCTTCAGTTTCTTATCTGTAAAATGGACTAAGAATACTGACCTTGCAGAATTGCTGGGAGGACTGCATCAGATAATTCTCAGCTGAGGGCCTTCCATGTGGCAGGCACTCAGTAAATGGTAGCTATTATGATTAGGACAGGACAGGACTGGAGTGAAGGGGAAAAGAAGACTTTTGCTCAATTCATAAGGCTAGTAGTCTGCAGTCTATTCTTAAGCAAAGAGGAAATCACAGGGGTACCCACCGATGCAGAAAGTTCCCCTCATGTTTTCATCCTCAGCCAGCCTGAGCATGGTTTGCATGGTGAGCAGGGTCATCATCATGAAGGGGATGCTCTGGGACACTGCAGTGGGGGCAGACAGGAGAGAGGTGGTATTTATCTCTGCACACTCAGGGTTCTGTGTCTCCTCTCACATCAACAGGGAAGCTTTCAGGGCTGCATGGGGGGAGGCGGATGATGTGCAGTAGGAAGGTGTTCCTATTATTCCCCCCTTTCCCTTACCTCACCTTAATGCCAGGCTGTAGTTAATCAAGGAGTGGCTGGTTGAGAATAAGGTCCTAGCTGTACAACCATTTGTAGCTGTTGTTTAGTGGCAATTGCTTATTTGGATAATTATTTTATTAATGCCAATCTCTCCCACCATACCTTGCCTGTATCCCCAAAGCACATGTAACAGGTATACCAGGTGCTCACGAAATATCTTAAATAAAGTAGTGTAGGAACAAATGGCAGGAAACACTTATTTCATCTAAGTGTTCAGTGGTTTGCAGGATACACCTTACAGAAAATGCACTTCTGCAAACGTAAAGCCAGATGTAGGGCAAGGTGAGGATGAGAGCAAGTCTAGCCAAATTCAGAGCTGTCTGGACAGATGGCTGGTCAGCAGACTCATCTGTGCTCATAAACAGCTGCCCACATCCCTCTATTAACATATTTTAGCACAGCAGAAGATAGAGATACTCTCTCTTCTACTGTTTGCTCCCATTTAGGTTTTAGACAATTAGGGGTGGTCTTTTCCCAGGCAAAGTGTGGAGAGTGTTTCCCTCATACCATAGCTGGTTGCCAATTCAGCCAGGGAAAGCACAACAAATTCATCTGGTAGCTCTAGGATCCTGAAGTTATTTTGTACTTCATGCATCACAGAGTTGAAATCATGTGCCGCAAGAGACACCAAGACCTCACCAGCTAGCATTCTGATTTCTCTGGGAATCTGAGGAGGGAAAGAAAAATAATAATTACAATGAGAGGAAGAGCAAAGTGAGTCTACAGAGGAGAACTAGTCTACATAATATTTATAAATTCTTTTAGCTTTGGGACAGAGAGAGAACAGTATGTTACAAAACTGTAGGTGTCAGTAGTTGGGAAAGCAGAGGAAATTTGAACGCACTTAAAAAACTGGTTTTCATAGAGTTCTTATAAACTTGGGGTCAATAGAAGTTTTCTTGCTAATTGATCAGGTACCATGAACATAGGATTTATGTTTCATGTTTAAGTGATGTAAATACTGTGTTTGAAAGACTAAAGGGAATGACGAAAGAAAATGGGCTGGGAGTTGAGAGCTTTGGTTTTGATGTTATCCTGGTAATTATAGTATCTTCAATGTTGGAGCTATTGGAAGGGACTTCTGCTTTTGGTGATGGTGAGCTAAGTAAATTTTATCAACCTTCCTGCTGAGGAAAATAAAAAGACCTGAACAAGATATTAAAAAACATACTCATAAGACATAAGGAAGCTCACAATATACATCCAAGTTGTTGGTATAAAAAAAAGAAATTAAAAAAAAAAAGAAAGAATCTCACAATATAGAGTGGAATGAGTTACTGAGCTCAAATCTGAAAAAGACTGGGGGTCCAGGGAGATAAGGCCTGTATTTAGGCTGCTCTGCAGTATTCTGGGGCAAGAGTCAGAGTTTGGGGCCAACAAATGGTGAGACCCTGGTTATTCCCCTGCCCATCTTTTGGGCTAAGACCCCAAAGGGCTGCATTGAGATGAAATGTTAAATCAGCCCTCACATGAACTGCAGTCCAACTTCGAATCACAGAAGTGGCCCAGAAATCTCAAGCCATGAAAGTGATTATAGATTGCTAGTGCCCTTGGAAGGAGCAAGTAAAAATTCTTTCTGGAAGAAAATAACATCATCCTAGTGTTCAAATTATTTCTACAAATAATTTTTATTAGGCTGGGCACAGTGGCTCATGTCTGCAATCCTAGCACTTTGGGAGGCCGAGATGGGAGGATGGCTTGAGGTCAGGAGTTTGAGATCAGCCTGAGCAAGATTGAGACCTCATCTCTACAAAAATTACAAAAATTAGCCAGGCATGGTGGAGCCCACCTGTAGTCCTAGCTACTTGGGAGGCTGAGGCAGGAGAATCACTTGAGCCCAGGACTTTGAGGTTACAGTGAGCTGTGATGATGCCACCGCACTCTAATCTGGGAGACAGAGTAAGACCTTGTCTCAATATATATATATATGTATAATTTTTATTTTGCTACAATGTCTATCAGACAATCCAAGATAAGTAAGCACATAATGAAATAAGAAGTCATATGGGAGCCTAGAAAGCTGGATTCTAGTTTCTTGTTCTGTCAGTAGATAGCTGTGTTACTTTGAAAAAAATCTCTCTAAGCATCACTTCCTCATCTAAAAGGAGGTTGGATAATATTAGCTCTAAAGTCATTCTGAGCTTTGCCTCAGTTTCCTCATCTGTGAAAGGTAAATAATAGGCACAGTAACTGTATCCAAGTTCCCAGGAAGGACGAATAAAAGTGATTTATGGCCCTGGCAGCAATGTAGAAAAAGCTCGTGGACGTCCATTTGGGTGCAGTTGTGTCACTTAAAGACCCTGTTGCTGCCCTTGATGCTGAGTCACTACCAAGAACCAACTTACCTTGTCATCTCTCATGTCTTTAGAAGCATAATAAATCAACCGCTGGACAATTGCTTCATCTAAGATGTCAGTATTCTGAATAACAGAAGTGAGATGACTGTAAATGTCTTCCTGTGAACACACAGAAACTTGAGTTGCAAAAATAAAGGAATCAAACGAAGTCCAAATGAAGAACACCATTAAAGAAAGCAATCTATCTTCACTGTACGGTGGATTTTATATATCTTAATTGAGACTTCCTGAACATAATATACATCCTTACGAATCAAAGGCTTGTAAGTAGATCAAAGTTAATTCTGAAAACTATGTTAACTTTACTACCTTCCTACAGCAAGATCTACCTGAAGTCAGGGCAGGCTGCCCAACATATCAAAGGCTGTTGAAATCACCGTTGTAGGGCATTCAGGGGAATGGAATGTTTGTTACCCTAATTGCTGCTCTTACTACCAATGAGTGAGAATCTTACTACGGAACACACTTAATTCCCAAAGAGGCTGCTAAGCTATGAAACTGGATCCTAAGGGAGATTTAGAGGCCCTCATTTTATTCATGCCTTTGTGGAGAGATGGTTATGGTCAACATTTTGGATAAGGCTGCAGCCTCTAGGAATCATGTGGCTTGCCCAGAGGCTGTGTGTGATGGCTCTTCTAAATCTTAGGTGGCTACATGTCCTCCGGAAGATGAGGGACTGGTGTTCTGAAATGTCCAACAGCCTTAACATGTACCTCCAGGTACTGCATCCATATTTAAGGTGTGAAATAACTTTTTTTGCCTTACTCCTCAGGGCTGGTCCTTGGGAAATTTGAGAATAAGGTATAATTGGTCTTTGCTTTCTTCCCTGTAAGCACTGTCACAGCCTGCCTGACCACCTCGGTGAGTCTCTCTTGGTCTGTGTGCCGTCTCTCCTTTCTGCAGGCCTTGTCCCGTCGGCAAGGCTATCACTTACAGAGCCCTTCCTGTATTCCTGAAACTGTGCGAGGCTTTTTATCTGGGACATTTCATTAATGCTTACAACAAGCCTCTGTTAGGCACCAGTAATATATTCGTTTTACAGATGAGGAAATTAAGTCACAGAGAGCTTAATGTGGCTAGTATTACATGGTAATGCTACACTTTGAGCCCAACAGTCTAGTCTGACTTTTAACTGGCACCTTAACCCCTTGGTTTTGCTAGCTATTACTGTTCTCTGACTTGACCCACTATAAAAATAATTTGGAAGTGCCTATCAAAAGCACATATTTTCTGGTCTCTTCCCTGGAAATTCACCTCAGTACTTCTGGGATCCAGAGACCATTCCCCAAGGGATTCCCAATGTTTGAGAAATAGTGTCCTATGAGAAAGTTAATTCCTACTAAGAGGTTGATGAAATGTTTTTCAACCATGCCTAAATGCTAGGATTGTCTCAGAGAGCTTTAAATGCCCAGGTTTTTAACAAACTGATCCAATCAGAATCCCTGGTAGTGGGGCCTGGCTGTTGGTATTTTCCTAAAACTCTCTAAGGGATTCTAATATGCAGTCAGGGGTGAGAGCCACCAAATTAAGAGATAAAAGGGGAACCTGTGGCCTTAAGGCCACATGTGTTCCTCCAGATTCCCAAGTGTGGCCCCTGTACCAAATCCAAACTTCACAGAACAAATCCCTTTATTAAAAGGATTTGTTCTATAAAATTTGGATTCAGTCAGAAGGGCACACTGAAGGATCCAGAAGGCCACATGTGGCCCCACGACTGCAGGTCCCCACCCTGGTAGGACTGCCCTTCACAGGGAGGCAACATTGAATAATGATTAGGAGATTTTTTTTGGAGCCAGAGGGCTTGTATTTGGATATAGTCCTGCTGTTCTCAGTTGGGTAAGTCATGTAACTTCTCTGTGCCTTATCTTTTCTCTTCTTTCTTTTCAAATGGAAATAACAATACCTACCTCATAAAGTTGTTTTGAGGAGTGAATATTATACAATGCACTATTGTGTGGAAAACATCTAGTACTGTACTTCCTAGCTAGGTGTTCAATGAAGGATAGTTATTGTTATTTTATAAAATGTTGTTGAAGTCTGAAAGGCCTTTATTTCTCAGAGAAATACATTTCTAGTTGTGAAATAGCATTACAGATGAGTAGGAGAGACCCTTTGGGATTTTCGTAAGAGCCCTGAAACTATAAAGGAGGGGGTTGTCATCCACGTGGTTGTAAATCTAACACCTCTCTCTTTCCACATCTGTCTGTAATAATGTTATGAAAAAGAACATTCTTTTGCCCTCTTCTAGATGTAGATAGTGTGATTCTTGAAATGCTAAATATCATTGTTTAAATATTATATATAATGATTCCCATTACAACTGCATTTTCTGAAAAATCTAATGCCATGTAAGAAGCCAGAGAAAAATAAGAAAGATGAGGCAGAGAAAGACGTATATGAAATGTTGCAACATCTTGACTAAAAAAGGTGAATGGGAAAGAGATTTTTCCCTATTTGCCCTACCTTGCTAACATTATCTTCCTTGTTCAGCATGCCAAGGGTGAGGTTAATATCTCCAAACTCCTCTAAAATTTATAGAAAAAGAAGAATTAAAATATGTGCTGAAATGCCCTCTTGTTAATTACTTTACAGTAGTAATAGAAAGTTCATTCATTCATTTATACCCTCTCTCCCACCCCATCTCTCTCTCTCTCTCTCTCTCTCTCTCTCTCTCTCTCTCTCTCCCTCGAATGCTAGCTCTGTGATGGCAAGAACTGTGTCTTATATTTCATATCCCTGACATACTTGAAAATAGCAGATGCTCAGTAATTTTTTCAAAACCTGAATTAAATGTGGAGGGGAAAATAAAAGATGCTTGATTCCTATTTATCCGTCCAGTCAAGCTGGTGATGCCCTATATATCCTCTCTAGCAAGGCTCACCTCTAAGATTCAATGAGCTGAATCCCTTACACCTGACCTGAGCATTAGAAGGCAGTGGTGCAATATAGCTGTTTATTTTCCACTTCTCTTCCCTCAATACCTTGCCTGTCTTCTTGTTCAACACCCTCTTCACATCCATCTACCCTCTTCTGCCTGCTGGGTCCTTCTTCTGGTCCTGTGCTCATGAGACATTGCTATTTTCTGATAATGACCTAAATGTTTTTGACTTTCACTTTCCAGGAATATGTGTTTTTGAATAAAGCATTCTAGAAAATTAAAAAATTTGAGTCAAAGGAATTGAGCAATTTCAGGCCACAAGCCAAGTTGGTAGGAGAGATGCATTTGAAGGTAAAGATATCCCATGAGCCTCCACATTAAACAGCACACCTCTTTAGTGTAGTCTTTTTGGCAAAGCAGAAAGACAGCTGTACATGGAAACTGGGGGGAAATATTTCCAAAGAACTCTTTCAGTAACTGAAATTAAAAAACAAACTGCCTTTCTTTGATATGTAGCCATTTTCTTCTCAGGTAGGCTATGCATTTTTAAAGAAGGTAAAACACAATCATTTCTCAGGCCTCCAGCCTGTTATTGGTCCATCACAATCAATATGATTTTATTATTTTGGAATATAAAAGGAGTACAGAGAGAAATAATTTCACTTTAGCAAACCATTTCATGAAACCTTTGAAGTGTGCAGACTTCCCACAATGACACGCCATTGCCCAGCCCCTGCATATGCATATGATTCCACAGACACAAAACAGACAGCAGAAGCCCTGACTCTGCGGGACCTGATGATGCTTACCTGTGGAGTCCTCCATGCCATGAGCCATGTCTTGGCTGTTTCAGGCTCTCTAAAAGATAGCACCTAAATATCAGAAATAGTAAGGCTGAAAAATCAAAGAAGCAGGTTGGCAAGTTTCTCATACAAGGTTCACATAAGGTTCTCTAAAGGAAAATCCGTCCTCCACTTGATTGGTACAGTGATCTGGAGCTTCCAGCAATGGGTTTGCTGTTAAGGATGATGCTGTATTCTACCACTACGACATAGTCTTGCTTTTGACCTCCTGTTGACCAAAAAAATGGCTGCATCTCACCAAATGTTGTCCTTTTGGTGGAGACCAGAATATTTGAGAAGGAAGAAATTAGAGACTGGGATTCAAACCATTGTTGTAGACCAAAGGAGTTCCTCTCCCTAAACTTGGGTCCATTGATCACAAATTTGGTAATGGTTTTCAGTGGTCACTTTACTGGCCTGGTGTTGGTAAAGCCTCTATGGTGATCCTGTTGATTGTTCTACTTGGCGAAAGTCAGTCACATAAACGGGGCATGCTCAGTGGGCCGGAATGCCCATGGGGCAGTTGAATGGAATGTCCAACGGACAGCAGCAAAGCAAAGCCCTCTCTGCCTGCCTCTCTACTGTTTCCTCAGGGACATGGTTAGGATCTTGGCTTCACTCCAGGCTCAGAGTTTTTCTCTTACTCCATTCTCTCTTCTTTTTAATTTTTATCCAGACCTCTTGGCCATAATGCTTTCAAATTTTCTAGCATGAACCTAAATCTTGTCTCATTGGCCCCTAACCCTAAATCTACGTGATCACAATCTCTAATCTATGTCCAGACTATATGTTAATATGGCAGATGATAAAGCAAGAGCAGGAAGTGGGTACTAGAAGTCTACATAACTGAATGTAAAAGCGGCCAAGAAGAAGGGCTCACGAAAGTTTTCAGCTGCTGCTGCTTCTCTGGCTATCTTCTCTTCGTTAGCGAAGCTTATTTCAGATTCAAAAGTCAAATGCTTTCAACTAAACATTTGTATTAATCATTCTTCTCATAGACAGATATTTTGCACTATGTCAACTGCAGAGGTCCTCAGCAGGCTGGTGGCTAAGAACATTTTCAGCTTCCTGAGTCAGCATCACTTTTTCTCAGAGTATTGTCCCCAAGTGCCTTGTAATAGGATTTACCTGGTGTCCTTATTCAAAATGTCAATTCCCAGGCCCCATCTCAGACCTGATGGATTAGAATGAGGGGGCAGCAATCTATATTTTTCATGTGTACCCCTGGTGATTCTTAAGTTTTCTAAAGTCTGAGAAGCACTGGCCAAGATCCTTGCCCAATTACCCATTAGCAGACATGTGAAAATTTAGCAGTTAACGGAAGAATGTTCATTGTGTTGGGCAAGAACAGAAGCTGCTCTTCCTCAGCACCATGAATCAATCAGTCATTGCAGAATAGGCTGAGATTGGCAGGTCAGAGTGATATTGGGATGATTATAGGCAGCCTGAAACTCTTAACATCTTATAGGAAAACAAAGATGTTAGAAATTACGTACTCTTAGAATCCTCAAGAACAATGTACAATAGAATCAATAATAAAAAAACTAGGCACTTAGGTTATTGTTATAATCATTTTCTTTTTTGTGAATGGTGACAAATGATTTTTCTGCATGTCTGTATATAAAGATTTTTCTCTATTTCAAAGAAATTAAGAAAGTTAGGAGTTGACTGATTTATACTGACTTTGTAATTTATCAGGGCAATCAAAACATGTTTTTGCCAAAATTTTTTCAGGCAAAGCAAATTCACCCATTGAAACTAATATTGTAGATAGATTTAAATATCCAAAATCCTCAAAAATGATTTGCCTCAAAAATGATTTATTCTATTTTTGGGGAGCCTACATGTTTCATCTTCCCATTATTTACTCCCCTTCTCTTTACAGTAGGCTAACACAATATGGGTTTGATTTTTTTGAGACCCCAGAATTAGTGCTAAACACTAATTCTCAAAGCTAATAGGATGGCGTGTGCTAATTAAGTGTTGTGTTAGTAGCTCATTAACTATGAAATATCGAATTTTGAATCAAAAGTTTAGTTTATTATATCTCAAACAAGAAGCAGTTAATCAAATTAATCAATTAATCATTTAATCAACTTGATTAACAATTAATCAAAGTATGAGCCTAAACTATCAATACAATTTTGCCATCTTAACAGTAGCTTGTTTATGTCAGCAGCACAGAAGCCTGGAGGGTGACTGGCGATGAAATTGAGTTTTCCACAGCTTGTTGAGAATTGAATATTTTTCCTTGCAAGAAGTGGTCCAGAGCCTGGAAGAAGCGATAGTCAGTTTGGTTCAAGGTCTGGTGAATACTGTGGATGACAGACAGTTTCCAAGTCCAGCTTCTGTAGTTTGAACAGTATTATTTGTGCCACATGTGGTCGAGTGTTGTCTTGCAAGAGGATTGGCCTGTCTCTATTGACCAATCTCGGTTGCTTAATCACAAGCATCCTCATCATTTTGTCCAATTGGTTGCAGTAGACATCAGCTGTAATTGATTGACCAGGTTTCATGAAGCTGTAGTGGATAATACCAGTGCTGGACCACCAAATAGACATACCATTAACTTTTTTTGATAAATATTCAGTTTTGGACTGTGTTTCGGCACTTCATCCAACCATTGTGCCAAACACTTGCGATCGTCAAAAAGAATCCATTTTTCATCACACGTAACAATACGGTGTGGAAATGGTTTGTCTTTATATTGTGATAGCAAAGAAAGGCAAGCTCTGAGATGATTTCTCTTCTGATGCTCATTTAATTCATGCAGTACCCATCTATCCAGCTTCTTTACCTTGCTGATTTGTTTCAAATGGTCCAATACTGTTGGAATAGTAACATCAAACCTTGCTGCTAATTCACACATAGGTTGAGATGGCTTGATTTGCTTCCACTACAGCTTTCAGCTCATCATTATCCACCTTGGTCTCAGGTCGCCCACGTGGCTCATTTTCAAGATTAAAGTCACTAGAATGCAACTTTTCATATCATTGACGCACTGTGTATTTATTAGTAACATCCTTCACAAACACTTTATTAATATTTCTAGCTGTCTGCACTGCATGGTTCCATAATGGAGCTCATATTTGAAAATAACTCGAATTTTTTACTTATCCATGGTTTGCTCTAAAAAAAAATATTTGAAAGATAATCACAAGCCAAACCATGAGTTTGAAAGACTGTGGATGTACTTAAATATATATAATTTTATATCTTAATAAGCTGGTGAAAAATTCCGTATCTGCTGCATAAAAAATAAATAAAAAACAAAAGAAAAAATACATTATTTTGTTGAGTTTAGTCTTATTGTTTTGGCTTATTCTAGTTTATTTTTATTAATTTTTCTTCCAAATGTTTTTCTTTGTTTTTTCTTTAATGTCCCTTACATGTCATTTTCCTAAATTTTTATTTTACCCTCTAGTTTTAAAAAAAGTTCACATCGAATATATCTACTTTAAAAGATGGCAGGCAGAAGGCTGGGCATGGTGGCTCATGCCTGTAATCCTAGCACTCTTGGAGGCCAAGGCAGGAGGATTGCTTGAGGTCAGGAGTTTGAGACCAGCCTGAGCAAGAGGGAGACCCTAACTCTACTAAAAATAGGAAAGAAATTAGCCAGACAACTAAAAATAGAAAAAATTAGCCGTGCATGGTGGCACATGCCTATAGTCCCAGCTACTCAGGAGGCTGAGGCAGGGGGATTGCTGGAGCCCAGGAGTTTGATTTTGCTATGAGCTAGGCTGACACATAGCACTCTAGCCAGGCAGCAGAGT